TGTGGGTTTGGCTGGCCCTCCTGGTGCTGGAAAGAGCACTCTAGCATCTGAAGTAGTGCGACGTATAAACAAGATATGGCCTCAAAAAGCTTCTTCATTTGATTCTCAGGTTAAGCCTGCTGATGTTGCTATAGTTATTCCTATGGATGGATTCCATCTATATCGTTCTCAGCTGGATGCAATGGAGGTAAGGCTTCCTCTATGTTTTCTTTATTTAAATCTTCATCACCTTACAACATTTGATTCTAACTAATGTCCCTGAATTTTAGAATCCAAAGGAGGCTCATGCAAGAAGAGGAGGTGAGGTTTCTATATTTGCAATATACTAATTTAAAGCGTTATGAATACTAATAGTTTTGATGCTTCCCTTCATGAATCAGCTCCGTGGACTTTTGATCCATTGCTACTGCTTAATTGTCTGAAGAATTTAAAGAATCAGGTTAGTATTGATCAGGATTGTACACTTAGCAATGATTGAGTGCTTTGAATGTGTTTAGAGAATCCAAACGTATGAATGAATTTCTTTGATGTGGCTAGAAAATACAATAATTTTAGCCATGTGACTGAATTTTGATAATTTAAGTTTCTCAGGGATCAGTTTATGCGCCATCATTTGACCATGGTGTTGGAGATCCAGTTGAAGATAATATTTTTGTGAGCCTCCAGTAAGTAATTAGTCATCAACTAATAACTTTGCTTGAAATTATTTTGGTTATAAACACTTTTTTTAAGTTGATGGGATACTGGTGGTGACTGTTGATTCTTCATAGATGTTTTTGGAGCACATACACTGGTTTCAGTGTGTAGCATGAGGTCCTCGTCTGATGCAGAAACCTTCTTGGAATTGAATGATTATAATTCTATTGCGTGGAATAGTAAATTGATGTTCAACAAGCCAAAGAAAGATCTGTAACCTTTCTACGATCAGCTTATTTGTGTCACTTATTGAGATAACAGTATTCTGGAAACTGGAGTTTGTTCTGATAAGGGCAAATGCTATCTATCTTGACAAGTTTGATCTTAAAACATTTTGACATATTAAGTGATACTGCTAAGAGAAGTAAATGGAAACCAATGGTAAAAAAATTGAACATATCCGGAGAATGTGAAATTTGGGCAAAGGTTTAATTTCATGGTTATCTCTGTGATCAGTTGACGGTGAATTAATGCAATTCTTTTTCTTCCTTTTTGCAGGCATAAAGTGATTATAGTAGAAGGAAATTATCTGTTTCTAGAAGAAGGAGATTGGAAGGATATATCATCTATGTTTGATGAGAAATGGTAAGGATTTATTTGTTCCCATGCCATTGCTGTCTTATTTTACCAATATTCAGGTCAGAAAATTCGAAGATGTGATTGTTTGTTAACTTACGCAGTTGTAGAAGGTCATATAGTTCTTTAACATAGTGTATGCATAGCCAAAACCAACCTTGCAGTGGATATTACATTTATCTGGTACAACTGGCTCATAATGTGAAAATGCTTTGAAGGTACTCCTTCAAGGAAATTTGTTCGCCTCCTGTTTTATTTTAAAATGTTATGGCTAAGTTTCAATAATTTTTTTCATTGTTAATACAAGGGAATTATTCACAGAATTTCAAGCTTATTCCCCTTGTGAAGAGCTTAATCCTTTCATTTTCTGAGCACTGTTTTAGAGATTCAAAAGGTATCAGTTCCTACCTAGAAACATCTAAGACTTGCACAGATAAGTAGGATCTTATGATATTTTTAGTGTTGGACATATTAATATGTGCTCCACTTTTCCATTAGCTTTTTTCTGCGAAATAAAATCAGATGTCAAGAAACAATGAATTGCCTTTTCACTTTTGGAAACTTGAATACTGAGTTTTCTGGGGAAACAGCTGAGTAATCTGTGTTGGTGTTTCTTATTCATTCAAGGTTCATTGATGTTGATCTTGACATGGCTATGCAACGGGTTATAAAGAGACATATTTCAACAGGTATGGCGCTCCCTTTTTTTTTTTTTTTTCTTTTTCCATCCTCTCTAAAACGAGAAATAAATAGAAGTGAGTGTTAAAAAATTTTACCTTCCCATTACAGGGAAGCCCCCGGATGTTGCTAAATGGCGTGTAAGCTTTTAATATGTTGCAAGTTGGTTATTAACTCTTGTGCTAGTTAAATATATCTAATACTTGATTCATTTTGCAGATAGAGTATAATGATCGACCCAATGCGGAGCTTATTATGAAGTCAAAGAAAAATGCAGATTTGGTAATCAAGTCTATTGAATTATAATGAATTCACCAGTTGCACTAGAGGAGAAAGAGGTCAGATGAATCTGTTTGGCATAAAGTTTCTGCAGAACTGAGGCAAATGATAAAGAGATGAATGCCGGCTTCTTCTTTTCTCAATTTTACCATCCATATTGAATTCAACAATTTGAGGATTGACACATTTCATGGTTCATCTTTGCAACAGAAGATGGGTTCATGTTTTTGTACATTTACAATATGCACTGTTAGTAAGACTTGACCCCTCCAATGTGTAAAATATATATAGTATCAATAATAGTAGACATATTGTTGTTAGGGTAAGAATTAGAAGTTAGAACATGAAGAAAGAATATATAAAATAAGAATAAGAATGTACAATGTGAATCCATATATATAAACCATTTATTCCTATTGATAAGTAATATAGAACCTTCCTTTAGAAAGATGTAAGGTTTGATGATTTCCTTGATTAAGAAACTTAATTTTAAGATTAACCCATATATATATATATATAAGAGAGAGAGAGAGAGAGATAAATAATAATATTGCAATATAGTGTCTAATGAAGAGAATCAGCCAGTTGAGTGAGTTAAGAATTGAATGGGGATGTGATTAATTGAGTGATGAAGTGGTTTGATAGAGACTTTAAAGTGTATTATACAAAGGGTTCAGAGTTCGAGTCCCTTTTTGGATGTTAATATTGATAACCATTAGAACTCTTATTCAATTAGTAGTTTCAGGGTTTCGGAGGACTATTTGTGATGCGCGTAAATTGGTCTGAACACCCTCAATTATTATAAAAAAAAAATAATAATTGTATCCTCATCCATTACACAAAATACTTTTCTCTTTAAGAAGAGACTGAGAAAAAGGACAAAACGACAGCACTTTAACCACGAAAACAACATAAACCTGGGATTCTAAAGTGGGTGTTAGCAAAGTGAGAGACAAGTAGAAGACAGTAAGTTAATGAATATAAATGCTTAAATAGTTAACTCTCTCTTTCTTGCCACTTATACTTACATTATAAATTCCTTCTCTCTCCATATATATCATTTGTTGGTAATCAAGACATTCGGATCATTAATTGATTTGTTTCACGTTAATCTTCTCTGTAAATTAAGCAACATTATTGGATCTTTCTCCCAAAATTCTTCTTTCTTTACATCTTTAAATATTGCAAAATTTTCCATTATCGGAAAATGCATCAGTTTCAGCAATGCCAGATCCAAGATATGTGTGTACAATTATGTGTTATAAAAATTGATTTCTGTAAACCCCATGNATGAATGCCGGCTTCTTCTTTTCTCAATTTTACCATCCATATTGAATTCAACAATTTGAGGATTGACACATTTCATGGTTCATCTTTGCAACAGAAGATGGGTTCATGTTTTTGTACATTTACAATATGCACTGTTAGTAAGACTTGACCCCTCCAATGTGTAAAATATATATAGTATCAATAATAGTAGACATATTGTTGTTAGGGTAAGAATTAGAAGTTAGAACATGAAGAAAGAATATATAAAATAAGAATAAGAATGTACAATGTGAATCCATATATATAAACCATTTATTCCTATTGATAAGTAATATAGAACCTTCCTTTAGAAAGATGTAAGGTTTGATGATTTCCTTGATTAAGAAACTTAATTTTAAGATTAACCCATATATATATATATATAAGAGAGAGAGAGAGAGAGATAAATAATAATATTGCAATATAGTGTCTAATGAAGAGAACCAGCCAGTTGAGTGAGTTAAGAATTGAATGGGGATGTGATTAATTGAGTGATGAAGTGGTTTGATAGAGACTTTAAAGTGTATTATACAAAGGGTTCAGAGTTCGAGTCCCTTTTTGGATGTTAATATTGATAACCATTAGAACTCTTATTCAATTAGTAGTTTCAGGGTTTCGGAGGACTATTTGTGATGCGCGTAAATTGGTCTGAACACCCTCAATTATTATAAAAAAAAAATAATAATTGTATCCTCATCCATTACACAAAATACTTTTCTCTTTAAGAAGAGATTGAGAAAAAGGACAAAACGACAGCACTTTAACCACGAAAACAACATAAACCTGGGATTCTAAAGTGGGTGTTAGCAAAGTGAGAGACAAGTAGAAGACAGTAAGTTTATGAATATAAATGCTTAAATAGTTAACTCTCTCTTTCTTGCCACTTATACTTACATTATAAATTCCTTCTCTCTCCATATATATCATTTGTTGGTAATCAAGAGATTCGGATCATTAATTGATTTGTTTCACGTTAATCTTCTCTGTAAATTAAGCAACATTATTGGATCTTTCTCCCAAAATTCTTCTTTCTTTACATCTTTAAATATTGCAAAATTTTCCATTATCGGAAAATGCATCAGTTTCAGCAATGCCAGATCCAAGATATGTGTGTACAATTATGTGTTATAAAAATTAATTTCTGTAAACCCCATGTTGCTACATAAAATCAAAATTCCAAACTTTAATGCAATTCACAGAAGAGACCACAGTCAAATTTATTAAATGTTTATCTAAATTATGGTTAAGGGTATGGTCAAATTTATATTATGATGCATGGAGACTGAAATATATATTCAAAGCTATGACAATAAACAAATGGGCATGAATAAATGCTCCATCAAACTGCACATGATTTTGCTCCCTCATTCAACTATTCTAATTAATCAACGCATCCCATGAAGAATATATAATAAGTGATTGCATGAAATAATTAAATAACTCACATAATAATTATTGATCATAAAGCAAGCCATCAACACTAAACAAGCCTATAATTAAAACATAGCCAAAGTCTTAATTTTTGTAACGTAACATAAGAGTTATTATTGTTTCTTTCCACAATGAAAATACTCTCAAGTATCTCACATTTAATTTATATAACAAACCATAATTAATAATACATAAACACTGTAAAAACGTCCTGCTCAAATTTTCATTTATCTCTGATCGTTCGTCGTTTAATTCAACAAGAGCAGGCCACCTCACAATTAGCTTCTGTTCTTGCATTTCTCCATGGCTCTTGGAGCTGAAAATCCCATAAATTTTTTTAGAAAATTAATGATCATAAATATAAATAATTAAACTATGTGTAGCTTATTGAAAAGGTTTATACTTACCAAGTCCAGTGGCCTCGGTGCCTTTCATTATACGTAACCTCTTGCATGATTCAACAAACATCCTGATTTAAATAAGAGGAATTGGGTGAGTAATTAGTATTAAGTAGCATAATTAACATATTAATTATGAGATTATTGTTTGTTTTTGTGGATAAAATAGAAGTTAATTACCCCCATGGGACATCACCAATAAGCATCCAGTCACCATCCTTGTCTTCATATGTAGGAACATAATCAGAGCCATTCAAAAGATCCATAAGCTTGCTCTCATTCATAAAGTCTTTCATTCCTTGGGATCCACAATTCCCTTCAATGTAATTTCATCAAAATTAGGGTCTTGTAAAATTAATTAAATTAAGAAACTCATTAGAAATTGATTTTACATACCAATAGTGCTGAGGGAGCTGAACATTTTGCCTAGGGCATCATAAAGATCTTGGTAATTCTTGTACATCTTCAAGTCCGCTTTCCTGAGATAAGGAGCACCATCCATGCTCACCTTCACCAAAGAAGCACCACCATTCACACTCAACATCTCACTTTCCTCAGGGCTGCTCTTCTGCACAGCTAACATGTTCTTCCGGAACGATCGAACTGGCGGCCAACCCACCACCTGTGCCCTGAAATTCATTTATATTCACCATAGGAGTTAAAGGAAGTTGTACATGGTTTAATTTGAAAAATACAGCCATTTTGGTATAAATTTCAGTGTAACATGGGACTGTAATAGTAGTTTCAATTTTATTGTATATGGTAGATCTGTTTATATATAAAGTGTTGATGTTGTTATAACACACTATTTTCATTCATTAATTTAATTAATTCCATCTAATTTTATGTATTTACATGATAATTGAAAGTTCGATAAATTCAGTTGCATGTGTTATAGGACAAATTTCTGTACACTTAATTACTTGTATAATTCTCCGTTTGATTCATTGAATGTTCACATAAAAAGGAGCTTGACATATGCAAAATGAATTTAATTTCTCTTTACTATATACGTTGAAAAAAGAAAAGAAAAATATTAAGATAAAAACTTTCGTTTTTTACTTTGATAATCACTTAAATTTCCTTATATTGTTCGTATTATTTTTGTTTTCCTCACTTACTACAAGATCTAACTTCTCTGGGAGGGATGATGGTAGAAATCGCTGTCTCTTTCTTCGTCTCTCTTACTCTGACACTCAGAAACACACAGACGTACAGAAAACAGGAAAACACACTATCTTAACCTAACCCTAATGAATCACGCCATAATCATCAACTAGCTAACATAAAGAAATTGAATTCATTAGTGGAAGGACATAAAGAAAGACAAAAACTTACTTAGCAGGAGGCTTGGCAGGATCAATGGCAGAAGGAAGAAGATGATTCTTCTCCTTCTGCAAGCTCTTCACCTTCTCATTCGGATCCGTCTCAAAACTCTCTTTGGACTTGGACGAAAGATTCAGCTTCAAATCAACAGTCTCAGAGAACCCTCTCTTCCTCGCAGCAGCACCTCCTCCTTCTCCTTCACCACCCCCACCATTATTCCCCGGCAACCCCAGCCTCAGCTCCGTCGCCTCAAACCCCAGCTTCTCCTTCTCCCCAACTTCACCCCCCATTTTCGCCATCTTTAGCCCTCCTATAAGTTTTTCTCTCTCTAAACCCCACTTTTGCTTTTAGAAAGTTCCTTCAATACTATGTACTAATTGGATTTGTGGTGTTTTTTCTTCTTTTTGCTTGAAATGAAATGAAAGTGAAAGTGTAATACTAAAAAGGCTTTATGAAATTGTAGTACTGATAATAACAGAAACGTTTTTTTGGAAGAGGTGTGTGTTTGGGTTGGGTGGGTATTAATATACGGATGAATGCATTGTCTTTTCCGAGTTTGGTTACTGGGATTTTGACACGTGTTAATTTGTGTGGGTTGGATTATTCTATATCTTTATGCGAACTGATGACGAAGTTGTGATGTTAGCATCCTATGATTGCTTTAAGAATGGAGAGAGAGAAAGAGAAAGTGGAGTTCTTGGCCTCTTGCCAGTTTTAACTAGGGTTTGGCCCACCCTATTTCTCTTTTATCCCTCTTATTCTATTGATGATCACAAATGGAGAACTCAATTTTTTGTTTTTTTAATCTTTCATTTGGCATTTTCAATCATCAAAGTAGAATAAAAGAAAAAAAAAAAAAAAATCTTTTAGCTTCAGCCATTTACGAGAAATGCCAAATGGTTTAACTGAAAGTTTCTGCAAATGGATTGACATATTGACTGGCTGAACTGATCAATGCATATATATATACGAATGGATTTGATGGTAGCTACCAAGTTTTGAAACTCGAAGAATCAAATTAGTTAACCAAATGGGTTATTCCTTTTACTGGTTTTTTTTGGAGGAGTTAGGGCACAAAATTTTTAGCTTCATTCGAATCTTCCAGAGCCAACCAAAAGGTGTGAAAATGGGGTTTATCTATAACAATGAATGTGATCTCTGAGTCAGGTTGTAATAACATCAATCAGATCACTTTATGTAGACAGGATTAGGTCTTTTAAGGTACGTCTCTTTAACCTAGCTATCCTTTTATTCCTTCACTAAGCACTTAATCTAATGGCCATTAGATTACAGAATTTGGTTTCCATGGTGAAACTATATATTGTTAGAACCTGGATACTGTAACTTTTCAATGGCTTTAATTCGAGAAAGAACTGTGTGCACAAAAGAAGAAAGATGGGCAAATACTTAAAAGGAAATAATAATGCATGCGGAAACGATGACTAGTGTTGGGTCTAAATTTTGCATGCATAAATATGTAGGAAGGGTAATAGGATGATGCTGGAGAAACGTAAGGTTAAGTGAAAATGAAAAGTATAAATAAAATAATTAATTAAAAATAAGAAAAGTGGGACCCAAGTGTAAGAAAAAGCATGTGATGAGATTCACAGAAGTGGGCATGTGAAGATGTAGGCTCATGCCTATGTTGCCTATATCTCTAACCCTATCCCATGTGCGCCGCTGCAGGGCATCCCACTCGCCTCACCTCGCCCCCACCCACCCATTCTTTTTCTTTTTATTTTACTAATTAATTATAACATACTATGTAAATTTTCGTTATTTGTAAATATTAATTAACTTTATTTAATGAAATTGTATATAAATATAAATAATAAAATAATGATAATACTCTTATATTATCATGTCGTCACTCTTGTTTAAGATGAAATTATTAAGTTAACTTCTTATATTAATATGTTCAATCATGTTTATTGGAGGATTCAAGATCTAAAGTTTAGAGTAGTAAGATTACATGTTGACACTTGGTTGCCCAACAAAGAATCAGAAGTTGGTCTCTTAGCATAATACATAATAATATTATTTGAACCGTCCATGTGTTAAAAATAAGATATGTTGATGATTAAAGAGCCAATGATTAATTTTTAATCTTCTATTTTGTGAAGATTAGAATTAGAATTCAATAATTAAATGATCAGAGAGATGTAGGCGGTGGTTATATTAAATAATTATAAGTCAAATGGTGTAGGGTCAGAAGAACCCTAAAAGGAAAAGAATAAGGTAAAAAATATTCATAAAAATATGAGAGATTCTTGATGCTAAAAAAAAAACCGTCAATGCCGGAAATTCGATGCCAATTTCGCGCATAAATCTTACTTTGATGCTGTAAGAGTGGATCATCAAAAGAATTGGAATTATGCTTTTTATACTGTTCCTTCATTAACACATTATTATTGTTATTTAATATCTTCTTCTTCACTGTTTTATCCAACCAATTTCTTAAAAACTGCCCTTTGCATGCACTCTTCACTTGCATTTTATTACCCCTTAACCAAATCTACATTTTTTTTTCTTGGTAATCGGGGTGTTTATATCAGTTTATATGTACCTCAATTAATTCTTGAGATTTATTTAATATCCTATCAGTCTAATGGATCAAGTAAGTTATAAATATGATAAGTGGTTACTTTGTAGGATTCGAACATAAAGTTTATGGATAATCCATCCAAATGGTTAAAGTCTTATCGTCCGACCATAAGGCTAGTAGTTTACAATTTCTTTTTGCTATCAACAATTGGTAATGTCGGGATAAAATTACAAAAATACCTTTTAATCTTCCCTATTTTTTGGATGGTCTCGTATAAAAGAATATCTTAGAATTTTAGTGATGATAAGTTATGAAAAATGTTAAACTTTGACATATAATTGTAATATTTCAAAAACTTAGAAGTATTTGAATTACTTTAAAATAGTTATATTCAAAGATTGGGTCTCGTCTGAATCTCAATTCCCATTTAGGGATCTTCATCCCGTCTTGAATTGTCTATGAAGAGTGGGATGGTGATTCTCGTTGCCACTTGTCTCTCCCTAAATGCATATAATAATCAAACTTGCATAAATATTTTTTTTTTCCTCATATTATATAAGTCAAACTATAATGCAACTAAATTATTAATTAACCTTAATACAACTGAAAATGTAAACTACCAGAGATTTGTGACGGATTATCGAAGGAAATTGCAAGGCGTGAAAGCATGCTAATTTGGTTTGACTGTGGGGATAAAAAGATTAATTAATGGAGCAATTAATTAAAACTCGATATAATTAATCAACCCTTCAATCACAATTTATGAACATTCTTTTCTTTTGTGCAATTCAAGTTTCTAGATTTGCACAANCTCGTATAAAAGAATATCTTAGAATTTTAGAGATGATAAGTTATGAAAAATGTTAAACTTTGACATATAATTGTAATATTTCAAAAACTTAGAAGTATTTGAATTACTTTAAAATAGTTATATTCAAAGATTGGGTCTCGTGTGAATCTCAATTCCCATTTAGGGATCTTCATCCCGTCTTGAATTGTCTATGAAGAGTGGGATGGTGATTCTCGTTGCCACTTGTCTCTCCCTAAATGCATATAATAATCAAACTTGCATAAATATTTTTTTTTTTCCCTCATATTATATAAGTCAAACTATAATACAACTAAATTATTAATTAACCTTAATACAACTGAAAATGTAAACTACCAGAGATTTGTGACGGATTATCGAAGGAAATTGCAAGGCGTGAAAGCATGCTAATTTGGTTTGACTGTGGGGATAAAAAGATTAATTAATGGAGCAATTAATTAAAACTCGATATAATTAATCAACCCTTCAATCACAATTTATGAACATTCTTTTCTTTTGTGCAATTCAAGTTTCTAGATTTGCACAATCACCCTTCTTGTGCCTTAAGAAAGAAGGTTGAATGACATTTTCACCTCCAATCTTTCACAATAGGATAATTTTTTAAGCTTTGTTGTAAAAGCACTCAATATTCAAATTAAGACATTAAAATTAACCGTAAAAGGGTTATCTTATCAATTTGTAATTTTAGATTAGGTTTTAAGTCTCCATAATATTATATACGTGAGATAAATTGATAAGATTTCTCTTCCACGGTTAAGTTTTAACTCATAAATTAAAAAATTTGGAATAATATTGGGTGTTCCTAAAACCGAGGCGAGAATTGTCTTTCATAATAGATTGGGGGTCGAAATGTCCAAGAAAGAAAGACCAAATAGAAAAAAAACGAGTTGATTGATTAATTTGATAAAGGTTTTAATTGAAGAAGAATAAAATTTAATTTCTACCATTAAAAGGACAGTCACTAAATTAAAAGTCACATTGATGGGTGAAACGGGCCTCGTGTTGCCGAATATCTTGTCTCACTTTTACGTGTCAAAATGGGCCAGTGATGGGTCACCCTCTTTAGAAAGTGGCTGAAACACAAGCCCTGTACGGAAGTATTTTGGGCCTTACCTTATCAAATCAGGGTCCATTTTTACTATTATTAGTATGTTAACGTAGGGGGCACAATGGCCATAATCTTCACTATAATCTTTTTTCTTTTAGTGGTGTCTAATGACATTAAGTCATTTACATTATAGTCAAAATATGGGCCATTTGATGGTGATTTGAACAATTTAAGTGAAATTATTAAAGGATTTTGAGGGGTTAAAGAACATGTTCGGTTAGACTTATTACTAGTTAAAATTTATTAGACAAACGTATAGACAATGTAATATATCTGTCTTATCAAAAGATTTAATTTTTTTCGTTGAGATAGATTATTAATCGAGTTAATTAGCTACCTTGTATGGAGGCTGACATTACATAGATGGTAGCATGAAGATGAGATGGAGTATGGACATGGGAGGCAGAGGCAATTAATTAGAGCCCCAAAGGGTAAAATGAAGGAGGGTTTCATGTTTTGAGATTGAAGAAGAACATAAAATGAATTAGACAAAGGGAAACAAGGAGGAGGTGAAGGGGGGGACTACTAGGGTATTTGTTTCTACAAAAATAAAAGTCCAAAATTGAAGCTTTCTCATCACGTGTGGGTCGAGTCCCACATCGATCACCATCGGCAGTTAACACATCACACGTGTGTTAAGACTCGTTGATTTTATATAATGCTTCTGCTCCCTCCCATGATCCCTTTCACTTCAATCTACCATTTATTGTGAATCAACCTGCCTTCTTATCTTGTCCCTTATTCAGCTTTCATCATTTATAATTGAAAGCTTTATATTTCTTTCAATTAATTTCTTTTCAATTTATGGTTAATACTAATATTGTTAATCTACATTAAAAGAAATCAATCGAAGTTTGAAAATTGAAATCCATAACATAACATAAATAAGAAGTGGGGTCGAAACTGGTGGCAAGGAGCTGGTGTGGAATTGGCATAATATAAAACACCAAAGAAAACAAATGCCATGAAGCCAATGTAGTTGGGGGAAGAAAAAGTTGGTGGACCCTTTGAATTCCTCTGTGGTCCTCTAAAGATAAGTGAATGGAATCGAGTCGTGTTCACAGAATTGAATTAATACGCTGCAGTTTTGTATCAATTGTGACATCTTCCTCTTTTTCGCATGCATGCCATCCTGTGTTATGGGTTCTCAGAACATAGCCACTGCTCAAAACAAAACTAGCTACCCCATTAATCTCTAAAGTTTGCTGGCATGCATTTCTATACATATTGCATATTTCCATTCCTGTTGGAATTCATTGGGTTCTTTGTCTTGTGATTTTCATGCTTTATTTCAAGGATTCCATATACATAACTAGTTCATGCTTTCATACATGTTTAATTAGAAAATTCAACTGGTGCCGATACTATTCTTTAGCATTCTGAAAAGTCGTAGCCGATAATATTCTTCTCAATTGGTGTCAGAATCACAATCTGATAGCTACCTTTATAGCTAACCATTAACCAAGAAGTTTCTATCTTAACACACTTGGCAATAGCAGTCGACCTCCGCGTCCACCGATAAATACACTTTACCGCCATTGAATATGAATTGAAGTCACGAAAAGCATGGATTTGTGGAGCAAATTCAAAGGTGTAACAATTAGACAACACTGTCGCATCGCATTTCAATATAAATATAAAGAAGTTGAGATTATTTTATCACGCGGATTCCCATTGTTCAAAAGTTTGAATCTGAAATGATATATAAGCAGCATTAAATTGTACCACAATTTTGTGAACCAGATCCCTCAACCATCGTGTTCATATTATAAAGATTCAACTAACCAGATTATTTTCACATTAAATAGTGGTTTTGGAAGCTCTAATCCATGTTAGCATTAAATGTCTCTCATTGAGAACAGTAAAGCCATGCATTTAACATCAAATCTACTAGCAGGAATACAATGCATGTAGAAATCAATTTTTTTTTTTTTTTTTTAATTTTCTGCTTTATTTTTTAAATTTTTTACGATGGTCAACTTATTCTTCTGGTTATGAAACATTATAATCAAAAGAGAAAAAAATTGTGGGGAAGAAGAGGAGAGAAAAAGACTTAACCCCAAGGTTTTGGTCTAATAGTATCAGGTTCTGATCTTTTCAAATACTAGAAAATTCTCCTTAAACTAATAATTGTTAATCAAATATTAATTTTAAAACAACATTTTTAACGCAGAGATGAGTGAATTAAAAACGAATTACCCATTTTTCTTCTTATATATACAAGTAAATTATCTGTTCTATCTTTATATGGATTAATATTTTATTAAAATTAAGAAGGATCTGAACTATTAAACCCAAACCCCAGGGTCATTAATGCTATTATCTCAAGAAGAAGAGGATGATCAGCATGAGCTGACCCAAATGCACATGACATTCCACATGTCATGCATAGCCCATAAGCCAATCAATTTCACAAAATGGACCTACAAAACTCAACCCACATGGCCATGCCAGGCCTATCAACAACATCCACGTGGGACCCGTGACTCACATGGGTTGTCCTAATCAAAGTCCCTAATCCAACGCTCCCAAAATTCACCCTCAAACGCAACCTACTAATCCCCAAATCTCAGCCCTCCATTCCTGGTCCAAACAGGTCCACAGTCTTCAATACCACCGGCTCCACTTGTCCCTTCTTTGTCCCCTTCTTACACAGCACCAAACTACACGGTGTTTCTAAAATGACAGGCACCAATATCTGTTTCTGTCCCGTCATCCAAACGATTCACCCACGCGCTATTTCTTCGATTCTCGCCTGAAAGGCTGAAACCCTCCAAGTAATTGCCTCGTTGGAACGCGTAGGAAAGTACGCGTGTGGGATCGCTTCCGGGGGTCAATTGAGTTCATGCACGAAGAGAATAAGTCACCTAGATAGTGTCCCTTACTCATCAACCCTATAAAAAAATCCTGCGCCATCACATCTTTCTCATCAGTTTTGGAAACTTGTTCAACTTGATAACTTCTTTGAATACACAAAAAAGAACTCGTTGCTTATTCATCTTCTTATTAACTTGTTTCGATCGAGGAACTGTTTGGAAACTTGGTGGTTTTAGCAATGGAGAGATTGGTGAAGTATGAGAGTGATGATCTCAATTTGAAGGCAACCGAACTGAGGTTGGGGTTGCCGGGAAGCGATGAGCCTGAGAAATTTTCATCTCGGAGCAATAAGAGAGCTTCACCGGAGATTTCCCAGGAGTCAAAGAGCAATTCTAGTGTTTCTTATGGTGGAAATGATGAACGGGACAGTGCCCCTCCGGCCAAGTAAGTAATCTTTTACCTCAACAAAATCTCCAAAACAGAATTAAAAGATTAATTAGGGTTAATTATTAACTTAATTATTATGTGATATGGCAGGGCACAAGTAGTGGGTTGGCCTCCGATTCGTTCTTACAGGAAGAATACTTTACAGGCGAAGAAAAATGAGAGCGATGGTGCGGGAATGTACGTGAAAGTGAGCATGGATGGAGCTCCTTATTTAAGGAAGATTGATCTCAAGGTTTATAAATGTTACCTGGAGCTCCTTAAAGCTTTAGAAAATATGTTCAAGTTAACCATTGGTAAGTAAAGCTTAATCACATTAAAACTTAATTATATGCATGATTATGTTATATATATTGCTGGTTCTGACGATTTTGGTTTTACTTTTTTTTTTCTCAGGTGAATATTCAGAGAGGGAAGGCTATAATGGATCTGAATATGCTCCAACCTATGAAGATAAAGATGGTGATTGGATGCTTGTTGGAGATGTTCCATGGAAGTAAGTTCTCTTTCACGGACGTTTTTCTTAATTTTAATTCTTCTAATTTTGTACCCTTTAATTTATTTTTTTCAGCAAGTTCATTTATATTTTGATTTATGTTATTGCAGTATGTTTATCAACTCCTGCAAGAGACTGAGAATCATGAAAGGATCAGAAGCCATAGGCCTCGGCTGTGCATGAAACTCAGGGAGTACTTAAACTACGTCGTGCCAGTGCCAATTATTGGAGCAAAAGAAGACAAGTTGAGTCAGAGAAAATTCGTCGTTGGTTTCGAAGCAGTTTGGGTGATCTCTAGGAGATATTGTAATAATAAAATACACACTTCGACATAACACTGGAAGATCTATCAAGATATATTTTCATTTCGTTTCTCGCTGCTGGCTTTTTCTTAGCCTAGTTCGTCCTTGATTCAATATATATATATATATATATATAGCATTAAAGAAAAATAAAAATATATGTATAAATTTTATTATTATATTATAACACTTGAGATCCAAACTATACAGAAGAAACAATGTATTTTTCCACTTTCTTTCAAATATAGAAATGCAATAGAATATCATTGTTTCTTTTTACCATGTTTTTGATTAGTTCTTCATTCTTTGTTATATTATATGTTATACATCTGAGAGGCCATACTATCAACTATCGATGGATAAAAAATGCTATATAGTTTTCAATTTAATAACTATTAATCATATTAATATAAAAAAAAAACAAAAAAAAAAAATCATAGATATGACGAGTTCAACTAAGATCAGAGTAATGTACTTCCTTCTCAAGATACAAGTGAGCTAGCTGTTTTCATTGATTTAAAGCATCTTCGATTTTCTCTTTCTTATCTTTTTTTTTTTTTTTTTTTTTTTTTTTTTTTTTTTTTTTTTTTTTTTTTTTTTTTTTTTTTTTTAATATGTATATAATTAATATAACTGATTGTTATTAAATTGAAAAATTATATATCATAAATACGTTAATTGATTGTATTGCTCCATCATGGTGTTTTCCTGTAGAGTAATGTTACACTTACATTACTCTTTTACATAATTTTCATTACATCATGATGTGATATATCACAACTACACAAATTTTTAATTATTTTTAATTTTTAATATTATAATAAAATTTATGTGGTTGTAGCATATGCCACATCATAATATTTACAAAATGGTGTAAAAAAAATAGTATAAGTATAACATTATTCTTTCCTGTATGTACATAACTCGTAAATTATATGCGTTATAATAGGTAATGAATTATTCAATAAAAACAGCTAGCTCTATCATGTTTTAAAAATCCTATTTAAAGATGTCAAATTAGTTATTTTATTATGGGTTTATTTCATTCATTTCTTAATTAAAAAACAACAATTCTTAGAAAATACTAAATATCCCTATTTAGGGCTTTTTTAAATTTGATATTTGGAGGAGGATATTTGATATTTGTAAAGGGGTTTCTAATATTTGTAGGGCGTTTCCGATATTTATTAAGTAGTTTTATGATATTTGCAAAAACTTAGTTTCAGGTTTTTAATAGTTTAGGCTGATAAAATTAACCCTTTTGTCACCTATTCTTAGATTAATAGGAGTATTAAATTATGTGGTTTATATTTTTGCACACGTTGTATTAATATTGTATTGTTATGAAAAAGCTACATTATTTAATATGTGTCATATTTAACCATATAATTTCTTATTAGATCAATCGTTTGACCCATATGACAGCTCTAAACCTATCCTAAATTTTCATAATAAGAAGAAATATCTTTAATGTATACTCAAATTGACACAAAATGTATTGAATTCTGATTTTTGGTACAAAAATAAGAAGGTTTTAATTATATATCGGTGGAGATTTCATACCAAACACAACAGGTAGATGACTGTTTGTTATATATTTTCAAAGAAATGATGGTCAATGTATTACTCACACAGTTTGGTAGAAAGTCTTCATCGATCATCAAGAGAACTTTAAATTCTGTACCAAGTTTTCTCATTAAATTAATGGTGATAATTGTTTATCTATCATAGCAACATCGTTTGACTGTGAAGAGCTAAAATTGCTTGGATGGTGGCTTGGGATTTGTGTAAAGTCTTCTGTAAATTTTGCTTTGATTCTGAAGAGAAGATAAGTAAAAAGCAAGTGGGTATTATAATTAAGTTGATTAAGTTTATGAAAAGAGAGAATTAAAATAATTAAACAATGAGTGAGTGCAAAAGAAGCAATATTGAAGATGTTGAAACACAAAATATGGAGGTTGATTTGGTGGATACTCTTTGAGAAGACAAAGCTTAGTCATCAAATCAATCTATGATAATACAAAATAAGCTCCTAGAGAGTAGATTACCAAGACAATGACTCCTTGAAGAGACGGAAAATTTCAACTAAAATCTACTTTTGATAGCTCGAAAACTATCAGGCTAATCTCCAATGACAAGCAAATCTTTGCAACAAAAAATAATGTCAAATTCGGTGCATGTTTGAGGGAGTGGACAGATGAATTCTAACTTATATTGGTGTTAACTTAGGCATAGAAGATTTATGTAGCTAATAAGAGTTAATTACGTTGTCACCTCTAAGATTTGCCGTAAAAACATTTTCCCCTCCAATATTCGGAAACTAACGCTAATACCATTAAATAAAAGTTTTGTCAATTAAATGTAACGGTGCAAGGAGTGGGAAAAAAATTTTTTTTTGAATACATGGTTGGTGGTTTTGATCAAACGATTAACTATTAGGGTGTGTTTGGTTTAGGAAATATTGTATTACTGGAAATGTTACATTAATGAAAAGTTAGATTACCTTGAAGAATACTGAAAATATTTAATAAAATGTATTTTGTTGGTTGGAATAAATTAGTGGGTATGTTATATTAATAGGTTTGATTGGGAGGAATAAATTAGTGGTTATGTTATATAAATTACTGAATTGTCCTCATTTTTAAATATTAATATAATATTATTTTTTACATAATTTCTTTTAACCCTCTACATTTCAAATTTAACTAAAACACTTAAGCAACAAAAAAAGTTTAAAATTAACAAAAACACCCCCACCCACCCCAAGCCACTGCTAGCAGTCTGCCATCGCCTTCAACGGTGGCAAAAGTGGAGATCTGGCTGTGAAATGACGGCCGTTTAACTGCCAAATATCTGGCTTTTCCCTCCATGGATCTAAACAGCCTTAGTGACGTACAACCGGCCAGATAAGGCCAGCCGTGAGCCATTCCGTCATCGCCGCCGACCAGCTCTGGCCACCACCCTTTGGTAATTTTTTAAATTTCAGGGGTATTTATGTCCTAAAAACTTTATATATAAGAATAAAATAGTCAATTAGTATTTTTGTAAATTGTTTTTAAAACAAGGGCATTATTATCCTAAAATTTTATTAATAAGAGGTAAAATTGTAACAAAAGTAAGATTTCCAAGTAATTTTAAAATACATAAGAAAATTAAGGTAATTAGATTACCTCCTATATTACTAACAGTAACTACTATTGGTATTTGAAGATTACCGGAATTTTATATTACTTGACAACCAAACATGATAATCAAGTAAGATAAGATGATATTACCTCAGTAATCTCCTATTACTTCCAACCAAACACACCCTTAGGATATTCAAGATTGCAAATATGCAATGGTACCAAAATGGTTTTGACTAAAACTTCTTGCCATTTGCCCAAAATTGTCAACTGTTTGGTAAATGACTTATTTAAAATCAATAATATTAGCCTCACAAACATCTCTCTATGGCAACTCACAATTGGTTTAGTCAGATGGGACCCATTGTTGGGTAAGCAGGACCTATGCGAGTTGATAAATTACAAGCTGATACGTCACGTTGTGAGAGAAAATTAATGAGAAGTGCTTACGAGTGTAGTATTATTTATTTAAAATATATTTCTAACCCCCCAACAAGAACTATGTTAATTAGCAATTTTTATTTTATTTTTTCCAACTAAAGGTAATTAATTATTGAAAGTTTCATGTAGCGTTAATTTAGTTGCTCGATATGGGCACTCTTTTCCCGCTTGGAGGAAATAATAGGCGTCAAATGAATATTTTCAGCAACCTTTTTTTTTTTAGTCATGCATAAAAATTATTTTACGAGTAAAACTATTAGTAGCCAAAAAAATATAATAGTACCTAATTGCTATTGTTGAATATTATTTGACTATTATATATTAGTTGCAAAAGGGTATTATTAAAAATATATGAATATATATTATCAAACCCTACTTCGCTTACATTCTCATGCGGGCAACTCAAATGAGGACACATGTTTATAATACATTAAAAAGGGACGTAAATTTATTAAAGACAAAAATAGGAACCTTAACAAATAAGACGGTTTACCCACTTCCTTTCTACTTTCATGAGGCGCCACCAACTAAATTCCTCACTTCATTTAAATATTTTCCCTTTTTTTTTGGCTAAAATATTTAGATTTTACTCTTTTTATCACTCTCCCTTACTCTCACCATTATTGATTTGTATTTGACAAATTTGTACCAAATCTAAATCTCAACAATTTGGCATAATATCGGTGAGGAATCATGACTTTCTTTGTACTATTTGCTTCTTGGGTGATTTGGTTTTAATGTTTTTTTTTTTTTTTTTAATTAAATTAATATTGAGGGTTTTTAGGGTTTGTTTTTGTTGTTGATTTGTTCATTTTAGGTGTAACGGCCATAAAAGGGTGACCAATTCTCAAATCAGGTTTTTTTAGTAATTGCAATTGACATAATGCCCATTACATTTAAAACGTCATTTGAAAATGACAACATTAATTTCCCAAATTGAGGCGAGAGTTTTTGTTCCAAATCCAAACCTCATGGATGCTTTGTAGTTAACCTATATATGATGTGTTGAGTAGTTATGTCCAGCTATATCTGCACCAGGGTCCCATTCAAGAATCGGTTGAAGCTATTAAAGTCATAGCAATGGGGTTGTCACACCCATTTCTCCAACTAGTGAATGTCCCCAGTTGATGCTCATCAATTTATTGTAGACAGTGGATAGACAAAAGCATTATTGTGTTTGAGATTTAAGTTACAAGAGGAGTGAGGAAGAAGAATACATAAGAGAAATTCCATTCTTTCTCTCTCTTCTTTTTTTTTCCTATAGTAATAGACCATACCAACTTTATTCAGCCAATGTTTTGCATCCATACCTACAGCTTGTTTGTTATCATGGTAACCCTTAACATTGACAAGGCACCACAGCTATTTGACAAAAGAAATCTAAAACAAACAAAAAACAAAAACGATCATATATCTCTCTTCTTTTTTTTTTTTTTTTTTTTTTTTTTTTGTCATTTGTACACTATCCAAATGAGAATAAGAGTAAGAAAGGTATTGAAAAAGCTTGTTTCTAGCACTTGTCTTGACTTAAACACGGCACAAGTGAAATTAAATTAAGAGAAATTTAGAAGAAAAAAAAAAAAAGAAGAATTATGTCAACACAGATTCAAAAGCTCAAATAAATTACAAGTAAACGGATGTTAGAAAATGATGCAACGAGAATCTACACAAAGCAAAGCCTATATTGAGACAAATGGAAAATAACATCAAGCAAAAAATTGAGTACGGAGCTCGAAATTACTTGCTGAAATGGTAATGGTGTTGGGAAATCAAGATAATAAGCTATCAAAAAGGCATGACATCGTCGGCAGCCATAAAATGTACATGCATTCTAGAATCGTCGTTATGTAGAGTGCCCATTCTGGTATCCAGTATTGCTAGCTGAGACTTCACCCAGGGTGGGTTGTACCTGCCTTCTACCCACAAAGCTTCACCGGTATCTTTGTGTTTGAAATCTGGATACTTGGGATTTCTCTATAAATCATCAAAAAGAAAATTCACTTCCATAAAAAGGATAAAGAATAGACTGCAGCTTATAGAATCAATTTCAATTTTCAAGTATGCAGATTGCATATAGTATGTGCGGAAACTTTGAAAGTCAGAACACTTCAATCCAATTTTACTTTCATCTTTGACTAACAGAAAAAAAATACATTGGTGGATTAGTTCCAAAGTGGTCCATTGTATTCTGCGACCGATAACTTCAGCTTTCATGCAGCTAAAAACTTCCAGAAAAACTGATTTTTGGAAAGATTGATTTCAACTTTATGGCCTTCTGAACATGAGCAATGCAGCAATTACAGTTTAGCTTCTTCATTTTTCACTTCAGGTACATGATGTACCATGCACCAAGTCGAATAGAATGCAAAATCCTACTCAAGAATCATGGAACATTATACCTTTTGATCGATAAACCTACTTAAAATTTACCTCTACACACCCAACCATTACCACCTTAGTTAAATCTCAATAGCACATGCCATACTAAAACAAAGAATAATCAATACACAAACATGATTCTGGTTCAAAAAGCAGCTGAAAATGTACCTTGTTCTTCCTATTATCATACCAATCCACTGGATTAGCAAAAAAGGCCTGCCATAGCTCTTCAATGGAACCCGTATTATTTCCAGAATTATTGCCAAGCTTTTTGCCTGCAAGGAAACTGTAATGACTAAACAATCCTGATCTACTCAAAACTATGTTTCATAGGGGTAGAACTTGCCTGCTGCCATGAAATTAGATTCACGATCATATGACGCCACTGATGGGAAACTCCTCTCAATAAAATTCAGTTGTTGTACAACCACCTGCACAAGATCTGAAATTATCATCATTTGTTCTGAAAAGCAGCTGATTATTAAAAAAAAAAAAAAAAAAAAAAAAATGATAGAATTTAGTATTATGAATTACAAAACCTTATAATAGGTCTGCTGTTTTCCTTCATCACTTTCAACCATATCCGAAACCAGCCGACCAGAGACATATATTTGGTTGCCTTTCTCTACATGTTGAGATGCAACATGGGCCAGCTCATCCCAGAAGGTCAAATTAATCCTAGAAAACATGAATTCTCAGTTTTGGAAAAGCATAAGAATACCAACTCAAATAAAATATTTCCAGTAGTGATATCTCAACAGAGCAGGAAGCAAATTGACAAATACATGTAATAAAATGACTTACATGTTGTACAGATGCTATATTATTGAAAAAAAAAATGATGAATCTACTCAGGGAACATGAGAGAGAGAGAGAGAGAGAGAGCAAGAGTATTTAAATGCCCATAAATCAAATTCTAGTCAGTCTACATATGTGGTATTCAAAGATGTAAGTCGGTTCCCTAATTTCCTTAGCCATTTGCTCATTCAACCTCTATTTCTAAATCCCTCTTCTACTTTTTAAAGTTACCCCAAGGTTGTGCTTATTGCATTACACTGACTTTGAAAATCACAGCAAATGCTATTTATGCACAGTTGGCTATGCAGTAGTAGTGATGGTGAAGAAAGTGAAAGGAAACTTTCGCTTTCTTACTAACAAATAGCAGTGAACACACGACAGTAAACTAATATCAAATGTCAACCTCCTAATGTCCTTCGCCACGACAAAAAAAAAGTCCAAGAAACCTGATTGGATTTGCAAAAAATACTAGACTTAGTTAATATAATTGGAAGAAGATAGAACCTGAACTTGCAACTTTTGGACCTGAGACTACCATATTTTAAATGAAGCAATATTAAATCCTCACTCACTGATTCAGTATCTAATGGTCCCATTGTTTGTATCGAGCTCTTTCTTTTCTCCCAGCTTTCTTCATGAGCTTCTCAGAATTAAGAAAACTAGTTATAAGCTTCTCCAGCTCTTTCCTTCATCTATTAAAACCAAAAATCTCATCCATTTATTTGAACGGTAAAGATTCAAATTTCTTAACTTAGCCACCCCACCAAGACCAAAACCTAATCCCATTTTACAAAATTTGGTACAACTAAAGTAAAAAAGATTATCACAATTCAACAAAGAATTCACCATTACAGAAAATTTATGCCACTATCACCCCATTACTTCAAAATTTCAACTTCCAATTTCTTTACGAAATGCATTCAAGTTCAAATTTTACTAAATTCCTCCTCGTTTCAATTAATAATCCAAACACAATCACTATTAACAAAACAAATAAAACTAATTAGAAATTTAATACATTATTAACAATACCAGGTAGTATCGGTGGCCGATTTTTTGACGGCGAGACGGGTCCAGGCGACGACTTTACCAGAGGGAAGGTGCTTAATTTCCACGGCGGTCCCAACCACGCCAATAAGCTGCACCGTATTAGTAAGGTCCTTCCTCCAGGGAATCTCTTGCGGTTTCGGGTAGGCCACTTGACTGTAGTTATGGTCTTTGTAATCAAACGAACATTTCAAATTTAATTTCGAGGGCGAAGGCGAGGGCTGGTTAAAACAATAATGCTTAGTGACGGGGATTAGAGCGTTTGAAAGATGGTTTTTTGGAGTTGAAACGAAGAGGTTTCTCGTTGATATTAGTGTTTGTTCTATTGCCATTGATAGAAAAATCTTTCTTCCTATCTCTCTATCTTATCTCTCCTCCTTTGTTTTGTTTTGTGTTTATGTATAATGAAAGTATGAGTACTGTATCTGCGCGCGAAGCTGCGAAATGGGAAGCGTTTGTGAGGTAATTGGGGCTGCTAAAATATCTAATGCTGGGCTTGCTGCCCAAGTCTGAGCACGATTGGGTTGGAGAGGGGTTTGGGCTTCCATCGGTTGGGCCTCATTACAACAGCAACTGGAAATTCTTCGAGCTGTTAATTTAATAACTACCAATGAAATTAGAAGGTGGTATTGTTGATGTGGTATCACAAAACAATGCAAAAATATCAAGTAAATATAACATTTTATAGCTACTAATGACAATTAGAGAGTGGTATAGATGACATGGTACATGTTGTATTCTAAATATTTTCTGCAATAAAAAATCAAACGATAATTGTCGTCATCATCATCATCTACTTTCGTGGAGATCAATTTGTCTTCGCCACCGTCTATCATCTCACAAGCAATCTAAATATCCATGCATGGAGTGGAAACTACAACAAAGTTATTAGGGTCTGACCCCCATGACCTTTTTTTAATCCATACCTCCTATTTTTTTTTTTTTCAACTTTGCTCTTGTATGCAGTCGGATTTTTACTATTTATGATTTATTTCGTTAAGGACAACATTTTTCAATCGTTTTTAACTAAATGGTGAACCGTTTTGCATATATTTGTGGCGTTGTGGAGGGTTTTAGTTTGAGAAAAGGGTTGAGTATTTAGTTTGGGATTGGCTAAGGAAGACAATGATAGTATATAACATGAATATGGAATTCTAGCTAGGATCTGACACCACTAGTTAGAATTATTAAACATATTGCAAAATCTAACAATGATTATTCTACATGAGTATCCTCATAGCAGGGTTGATCATTATGGGTCCAGAAGATTTTGTAACACTATTCAACCCTTGTTCAAGTTTATCTTCGGGAACACTATTAAGAAGGATATTATGAAAATTTATGATGTTGAAAATGAGAAGTCAATAAAATTGTTAAACAAAAATCGAGGTAGAATTGTCATCACTTCTGATTTGTGGAGTTCCAACAATCAAAATAAATTATATATGACCATCACAGCACACTTTATCGATAACCATTGGGTGTTACAAAGTCGACGCAAAATGTATTATTTTCTTATGTTTTATTATTCTTATTTCTTAATGCATTTTTTATAGTTATATTAATATATCAATTATCTATAATTTATATTGTAGGTTTGTATATATGTCTTACCCACATATTAAAGGTGTCATTTATGCAATGTTGACAGACTATTTTTTTTAGTGAAATATTGATAGAAAGTTGTCAACATTGATGGTTGATAATTACTCCACTAATGATGTAGTTGTTGATGATATCTTGAGAGAGCTTCCAAGTACCTCTCTTATGCTACATGGTTCATTATTTCATATTTATTGTTGTGCGCATATTCTGAATTCAATTGTTCAAGATGGCTTATCTGTGATTAGGCAATCAATTGCAAAAATTTGTGATAATGTTACTTATTGGATGACATTGCTCAAAAGAGAGCAAAGATTTGATGAAACGACACATTGATTAAGCATTCAAAGTATCAAGAAGTGGGCTTTTGATTGTAAGACTCAATGAAACTCAACTTATTTGATGCTTGAAACTGTTTTCATTTATAAAGAAGTATTTACTTGTTTAAAGCATTGTGAGCCATAATTTAGATGTTTGCCAAGTGAGGAGGAATGGGAGTTGGCACAATTTGTGGAAAGTTAAAAATATTTTACAAAGCCACTCTATTATTCTCTAGAACAAAATATCCCACATCTAATGTTTATTTTCCAAAAATTTGTGAAATTAAACTTGCATTGTCTAGCTAGCTTAGATGTTGAGATGATATGATAAAGAATATGGCAATGCAAATGGATTAAAAGTTTTTCAAATATTGGAATGTGATTCATGATGTTATATGGATAGCAATTGTTTTAAATCCTAGATATAAATTGAAGTTGTTAGATTATTTTTTTCCTTTGATCTATGGAGATGGTGGTAAAGATCAAATTATGAGAATTCTAGGATTTTGTTATGATTTGTTTTGTAAGTATCAATCTAAGCAAGAAAGTTGTCAAGCTCATCCCTCTTATATTGCATCTTCTTCTCAGTATGATATTCCTAGTGGTGAGGGGTTCCTTGCTAGTTTTAATATGTCTATGGAACAAGAATCAAGTGTTACCGAAGGAAAGTCAGAACCAAAATGTTACTTAGAGGAGAAACTTGCCTAAAACTCCTAACTTTGATGTATTAGCTTGGTAGAAGGCAAATTAGGCATAGCAATATTCTCCAAAATTTTGGGGACCCATCCCACCCCGCCCCATATAGGGTGGGGAAGCCCTGGTTTTTTCGGGGATAGGGGCGAGCGGGGGTGGGGTACTTCCTCCGCCGCCACCCCCCCCCCCCCCCCCCCCCCCCACATATAATATATAAAATTAAAAATTATATATATATCCTTACTTTTCACTAATACCTCTATATTTCACCTAATTACACAATTATCATACCTATATAAACCCATATTTTTTCAATTTCCCTCACCCTAAACAATTGAACAAGAACAGTCTCTAACCCATATTTATGTAAAATTAACTATGTTTAAACGATTAATTTAAGTGTTTGTCATGTGGATGAAAATTAACTATTGTGTTTGGTAATGCTTAAATTAATTTAGGTTTATGTAAAATTAACAAGGCGAGGATGACCTTCCAACATTCCCCTATGGGGCGGGGAAGGAGAATTTTTGTCATCCCCATAACGGGGATGGGGCGAGGGCGGGGAGTGATTTTGAGGGTGGGGATGGGTACAGTGAATGAGATCCCCACCCCATTGCCATGCCTAAGGCAAATTGACCTAAATATCTTACCTACAGAATATTGCTCAAGATATCATTGCTATTCTTGTCTTCATAATTGCTTTTGAGTCTGCATTTAGTGGAAAGGTAGTAGGTCCACATCGCAATAGACTTCATTCTGATACATTGGAGGCATTGATATGTTCTTAAAATTGGTTATGGGATGATATAAAAGGTAATCAAATCAAATTTTTATTTCTTCATCAATAAAAATTAAAAAATATTAAGATATGTTAGTCTTTAATGTATATTTATATGTTAGTCTTTAATGTATATTTTTCATTCTTATGTTAGGTTAACATTCTTACTCGACAATTAATGATGACACTGATGCAGAAGAAGAGGTGTTATAAATTTATAACGTATTCTCTTTCTTTTCTCTTCTTTTAGTCATTTGTATGATAGGTAATCTTAGTCCATTGTTGCATATCAACTAAATTATATTCTTTATTTGTTTAATAAGAAATTGTAGTGGTAGATTTATGATGATAGTGATGCAATGGAGTATTGCGGGATTATGTTTGTTGGGATAATATTGTGATAATTGATAGAATTTGAGGTGGGCTTGACTCTTCACCCAATAAGGTCTTGCTGAATAGGAGGATTGCCTCATCTTATAAATTAGTAGGCTTGAGCGTACTTAGTCGGTGTGAGACTCCAACACGCCCCCTTATGGTCAAGCTCATATGTTGGGTCATGCCTATTGATGGAGGTAATTGTTAGCTCTAACTGCTTACCAGCTAGTCAAACACTCAACTCAATTACGTCTAGCTCTAATACCATGATAGAATTTGAGGTGAGTCTGACTCCTCTCTCAATAAGGCCTTGTTGAATGAGAGGATCACCCTCTCTTATAAACCAGTAGACTTGAGCGTGCCTAGTCAATGTGGGACTCCAACACTCCCCCTCACGATCAAGCTCATCTGTTGGGTTATGCTTGTTGATGGAGGTAGTTGTTGGCTTTAATACCTCACTCGCTGGTCAAGCACGTAGCTTAACTAAACCTGACTCTGATACCATGATAGAATTTGAGGTGGGCTTGACTCTTCACCCAATGAAGCATTTTTTAATGAAAGGATTACCCCCTCTTATAAACCAGTAGGCTTGCGTGTGCCTAGTCAGTGTGAGACTCTAACACTCCTTTCACGGTCAAGCCCATATGTTGGGTCATGCTTGTTGATGGAGGTAGTTGTTGGCTCTAACTCCTCACTCGTCAGTCAAGCAATCAACTCAACTAGGTCTAGCTCTGATACCATGATAGAATTTGAGGTGGGCTTGACCCCCATTCAATAAGGTCTTGTTGAATGGAAGGATTACCTCTTCTTATAAACCAGTAAGCTTAAGCGTGCCTAGTTTGTATGCCTAGTTTGTGTCGGACTCCAACACTCTCCCTCATGGTCAAGCCCATATGTTGGGTCATGCTTATTGATGGAGGTAGTTGTTGGCTCTAACTCTTCACCCGTTGGTCAAACACTCAGCTCAACTAGACCTAACTCTGATACCATGATAGAATTTGAGGTGGGTTTGACTCCTCACCCAATAAGGCTTTGTTGAATGGGAGAACTACCCCCTCTTATAAATTAGTAGGCTTGAACATGCCTAGTCGGTGTGAGACTTAAACATTCTCTCTCATAGTCAAACCTATATGTTGGGTCATGCCTGTTGATGGCGGTAGTTATTGGCTCTAACTCTTCATTCGCTAATCAAACACTCAACTTAACTAGGCCTAGATCTGATACCATGATAGAATTTGAAAAGTGTTGGGTGAGATGGGCTTGACTCCTCACCCAACAATTCCTATCTTCTTAACGAAAAAATCATTAAGAACTCCTGAAAAATATTTATTTACAAAAGTTTCCCCATCACTTTTCAAACCTAATATAGGTTTGCCCTTTATAGGCAATCATATGATGTGAAAGACATCTTCTAAACCAAAGTGAAGGGAAACATTATCATTTATCCTAAAACAAAATGTCTCTCTCAAATAAGAGGCAACCAATACCTCAATTAATGGTGCGCAATGTTTCGTCATATATTTTAATTTTAACAAGTTATCCAATGCTCCCATTTCAAGCTTTTCTTTCACCGTACTTGCAACCTCAAAATCGTGAAAGTTAGATGCATGCTTACATACTCGGAATGTCATTGTTCCTAAAGCAAAAGTTA